ATTTGGTTTCGGTTTCCGCCAGTCTCGGTGCCAGCCACTCCCCAGTGGTTACTCTGACAGAGTTTCTGGATGCCATGACGGATCTGCGTTCTGCTCTTCCCCCCTACCCTGCACTTGCTGCTGCTGCCTGTGTTGGCCACCTGGAGACACAGATCCCACCCCTCCCCAGGCTCAAGGGCGGTTCCAGAGAGAGCAGGGAGGAGGTGCTGGGAGCAAACACCCAAGTCCACAGCCAGTCTTCAGGGGAGCAGCCCCGGGGAGAGGCGTGGTCAGGCAGCAAGGAGCACCAGCCAGCCCAAAGAGGGGGAAGAGGGGAATCCTGGGGGTCCCTACCTGGGAGGGGCCTGGGCTGGGGAACAGGGCATACCAGGGGGCTCCTGAGGGCCTTCGCACCTGTAGGTTCCTCTGCCAGCCTGTCTTACTCTCATCTCTAGCATCCCTGTTCCTGGAGGCCTGACTTCTATGTTGCCTCCTTCAGGAAGTCCCCTTGGACTTCCTGGCTACAGCCTTGTGTCCTCCAGGTAGCTCTTGCTGCTGGAAAGGGTCTGACCCTCAGTGTCCTCCGCACACCTGAGCATTGAGGGGTGCAGACCAATGCCCTCTTCTCAGCTTGTGTCTAACTTCCTACACCCTCAGGGGCTAGCAAAGCAACGAGTTTCCAGAGCCCTGAGCCCAAGAGAGGGTTGGGGATACAGAGCCAGCCCCCCGCATTCCCCAAAGCCTCCAGCCTTCTCCCCATTGCTGACCCCCCTGCCTTTCTTCTCTCTCCGGAAGTGCTGCCCCGGTGGGTGCTGGCCCTCATTCTCGTCCTCGTCACCCTGGCCTCGCTGCTGGCCCTGCGCTTCTGCGGCACCTACGGGTACAGGTACGGGTATCCAGGCTGTCTGGGACCTTGGGGCTTCAGGGATCACACAGCAGGCTCCCTCCAGACTCTGCCATCCTGCGCCTCAGTCTCCCCTCCCAACATGAGCTTGGGAACAGCTGGCCCTGAGGTCCCCAGTGGCTGCCACCTCCCTGTTGTCTTCCAGGCTGAACCAGAAGTGGAAGGAGAAAATCCCCAACCCCAGCAAGAGCCACCTGTTCCAGGTAGGAACGGCTATGAGGGAGATGTGCGGGGTCCCGCCTCCTGTCGCTACCCCCATCTTCCCGTCCCTGTAGGCTTGCAGTGTGGGCCATGCGTGGGCCAGGGAGGGGCCTTAGAGCCTTGAGGGTGGCCCCAGTTCATCCCTACATTCTCTGGCACATGGAGGAGCACTGGCCCCAGCCTTCCTGCCCGAGCTCTGATTCCAGAGATGGGGTACTTGCTGCTGGGGCGTGTGGGCTCAGGAGGTAGAACAGCTTCCAAGGACAGGACACCTGGACTGAGCTTTGGAGATGCAGGTGGAGCCAGGTGGGAAAGGGCCCTGCAGGCCGAGGGCATCTGCAGGGGCCCCAAGCCCTTCCTGCGGAGCTGAGAGGTGGGGTGAGGCGGGGTGAGGTAGTGACCTCCCAGGGCTGGGTGCTGGCATATGGCTGGCAGGAGGCATTTGCTCAGGCAGGCAGGACCAGCTTTGCCTGTGGAGGGGTCTCAGCCAGTCAGAGGAAGAACAGGCCTGAGCCTGGAGGCAGAGACCGCCTGCCCCCGATCCAGGCCTCAGGTGTCCAGGGACCCTGTGTTCAGGTCCTGGGGACCTCGGGAGTCACAGCCCTTCTCAGGGTCTCATTCTCCCGATGTCAGAGGCCAAGACCTGTCTTGAAGAGATTCTTCCAAGGGCTGAGGTTGCTGGAGCCCCTGCCCTGCCCCTGCCCTCGGCGCACACTTCCCGGGCTTCCTCGCACCCACAGACGCGAATGTCCCTTCTCTTCCAGGATGGGGCTGTGCGGCTTAGGCCTCCAGACAGCACACCGGCCTTGGCTGGCAGAAGCACCCCACCCTGGGGCCCATGGAATGGCCACTTCCCTGAGCCAGAGGGGTGAGTGTCTGGGCTCTGGGATTGCTCCTGACCTTGGGGGACAGGGGGGGTGACCCCTCTGTACACACCAGAAGCTCCAGTGAGGTTACCTCTGGTCTTGGCTCACTGCGAAGGGCTGGAGGAGGTGGGTGTGCACGAAAACAGAAGATACCCCAGAAGGGTGTCGGGAAGTCTGTGTCCCAGGTTAGGGACGAGCCAGGACTTGGCCAGAGGCAGAAGACTGGAGCAGTAGCCTCTGCCTGTCCCACTGCCCATGCAGCTCCGTCCTGCCAGAGCCTCGTCAGGGCCAAGGGGTGTGAGCCCAGGGCCTCCTTGCTGTGTAGGCAGCTGGCCTCTGTCCATCAAGCAGAGGTGATGGTGTGGGGGGCAGGGGGAGGAGAGTGGGATCCCCAGGCCCTGAAGGCGGATGGCCTGGGCAGAGCCGGGCGAACCCGAGTCACACCTGGAGCTGAGCTGAAGACTGGAGCCTGTGCTCCGCAGAGGGCCAGGGCCATGTCCAGGGTCCTTGTAGGGGCCCCTCCACCACCTTGCCCTGCTCAGAGTGCACTGTGAGCCAGGGCGAGGTCAGCCTTTCAGATCGTCCCCTCCCTAGCCCGTCCAGGAGGTCCTGACTTCTCTCCCTGTGCTCTCCCCTCAGGATCTTCCCCGTCAGCTTCGGGGACAGCGAGGTGTCACCTCTCACCACTGAGGACCCTAAAGTTGCCTATGATCTACCCCCTGGGCCTGACACGCCTCCAGCCATCTCAGTCCTGGCCACGCAGCAGCCCTCTAGCTCCCAGGAAGGCCTGCGGGCCCCTTCAGACCAGCCCGAGACCCAGGCTTCCAGCTTTGACTTCAATGGCCCCTACCTGGGGCCGCCCCACAGCCGCTCCCTGCCTGACCTCGTGGGCCAGCCCACGCCCCCACGGGAGGCTGCTGCCCCGACACCTCCAGCAGGGTCCCTAGAGTACCTGTGTCTGCCAGCTGGGGAGCAGGTGCAGCTGGTCCCCCTGGCCCAGGCGACAGGGCAGACCCAGGCCACCAATGTGGAGGGCAGGCCAAGTCCGGGGGCCCAGGGGAGCCCCTCACTGGCATCTGAGGGAAGCCTGGCTCCTCTTGCACCTGGGGCCATGGAGGGTGGTCAGAGACCGAAGGACAGCCCGGAGACTCTGCCCCTAGACCCTGGACACCCTGAGGACGGGATCGTGGCCTCTGGTTATGTCACCACCACAGACCTGGCACTGACCATGAACTCAGGGGCCCCATCTGTTTCCCTGACTCCCCACCCAGGCCTACCCTCAGAGCAAAACCCCAGCCTCTGCCCTGGCCTGGACAGCGGGCCCCCTGGAGCCCTGCCCTCCTTGAAGCCAGATTTGGGGGGCTATATGGAACTCCCTCCAACCATGATCCAACCCCCCACATCCCCTCTGGGCAGCCCTGCCCCTCCTGCAAACAGCAGCCCTGTCCTTAGGCCCGGGGAGCCCCAGGCAGATGTGGTCCCAGCCTCCCCGCACCCTGAGGGGCTCCTGGTCCTGCAGCAGGTGGGTGACTACTGCTTCCTCCCCAGCCTGGGACCCGGCCCTCTCTCACCCCGGAGTAAACCCTCATCCCCGAGCTACTGTCCTGAGATTGGGGACCTTGAGCACGGGGACACTCAGGCCAAGAAGCCCCCATGCCAAGCCAGGCCCCAGCTGCCGGCCATTCAGCTCTTCAAAGCCCTGAAGCAGCAGGACTACCTGTCCCTGCCCCCTTGGGATGTCAGCCGGCCTGGGGAGGTGTGCTGAGACCCCCGGGGCTGGGGAGGCCGGGGAGAGAAGGCCCACCTCGCTGCCTTCCACCAGCCCCCACCCCGTCGGTCACCTCTGCAAAGCCGGGCTAGGGCGGCTTCCAGAGTTAGATGGAGGCTGGGAGAGTGGGTCAGCTCTCCGCTGAGCCCTGACCTTCAGCAGATGGCTTCTCTCCGCGTGTCCCTTCCTTCCTTTCCCTCCCCTTCCCTTCCTTCTGTCTCAGTTACGTGCACACGCACACACGTGTACACACACATGTTTTTCTTTCAAGTTAATTTATTCTTGGGTTCTGAAGTTTACGAGCTTTCCGAACATCATCATCCCAGCGGCTCTTCCTGTCCCTGTTTACCGGGGTTCCTGGCCTTCGCCGTAGTCCTTTCTTCACCGATTCATTGTTAGAGGGAGGTGGGGGACAGAGCTGTGCCTGTCCTGAGCCCGAGGCGCCTCTGGTTGTGTCTGAGGACTCGTGCTGCCGGCACAGGTGATCACAGACCAGTGTCACCCCAAGACACGGGCACAGGAGGGGTATGAGCAAGGGCAGGGCGTGGGGGGCTGGGAGCCCCGCTGGGTCTTAGAGGTGACTGTCATCATGGCGAGATGTCACCGATCTGGGCGATGCTGGATAATGACCAAAGCGAAAGCCAGAACAGCGGGCGATCGGGGGTGAGGAGTCTGGAACCCACAGGGCTGTCAGAAAGCTGGGGCGATCGGGGGTGAGGAGTCTGCAACCCACAGTGCTGTCAGAAGGCTGGGGCGATCGGGGGTGAGGAGTCTGCAACCCACAGTGCTGTCAGAAGGCTGGGGCGATCGGGGGTGAGGAGTCTGCAACCCACAGTGCTGTCAGAAGGCTGGGGCGATCGGGGGTGAGGAGTCTGCAACCCACAGTGCTGTCAGAAGGCTGGGGCGATCGGGGGTGAGGAGTCTGCAACCCACAGTGCTGTCAGAAGGCTGGGGCGATCGGGGGTGAGGAGTCTGCAACCCACAGTGCTGTCAGAAGGCTGGGGCGATCGGGGGTGAGGAGTCTGCAACCCACAGTGCTGTCAGAAGGCTGGGGCGATCGGGGGTGAGGAGTCTGCAACCCACAGTGCTGTCAGAAGGCTGGGGCGATCGGGGGTGAGGAGTCTGCAACCCACAGTGCTGTCAGAAGGCTGGGGCGATCGGGGGTGAGGAGTCTGCAACCCACAGTGCTGTCAGAAGGCTGGGGCGATCGGGGGTGAGGAGTCTGCAACCCACAGTGCTGTCAGAAGGCTGGGGCGATCGGGGGTGAGGAGTCTGCAACCCACAGTGCTGTCAGAAGGCTGGGGCGATCGGGGGTGAGGAGTCTGCAACCCACAGTGCTGTCAGAAGGCTGGGGCGATCGGGGGTGAGGAGTCTGCAACCCACAGTGCTGTCAGAAGGCTGGGGCGATCGGGGGTGAGGAGTCTGCAACCCACAGTGCTGTCAGAAGGCTGGGGCGATCGGGGGTGAGGAGTCTGCAACCCACAGTGCTGTCAGAAGGCTGGGGCGATCGGGGGTGAGGAGTCTGCAACCCACAGTGCTGTCAGAAGGCTGGGGCGATCGGGGGTGAGGAGTCTGCAACCCACAGTGCTGTCAGAAGGCTGGGGCGATCGGGGGTGAGGAGTCTGCAACCCACAGTGCTGTCAGAAGGCTGGGGCGATCGGGGGTGAGGAGTCTGCAACCCACAGTGCTGTCAGAAGGCTGGGGCGATCGGGGGTGAGGAGTCTGCAACCCACAGTGCTGTCAGAAGGCTGGGGCGATCGGGGGTGAGGAGTCTGCAACCCACAGTGCTGTCAGAAGGCTGGGGCGATCGGGGGTGAGGAGTCTGCAACCCACAGTGCTGTCAGAAGGCTGGGGCGATCGGGGGTGAGGAGTCTGCAACCCACAGTGCTGTCAGAAGGCTGGGGCGATCGGGGGTGAGGAGTCTGCAACCCACAGTGCTGTCAGAAGGCTGGGGCGATCGGGGGTGAGGAGTCTGCAACCCACAGTGCTGTCAGAAGGCTGGGGCGATCGGGGGTGAGGAGTCTGCAACCCACAGTGCTGTCAGAAGGCTGGGGCGATCGGGGGTGAGGAGTCTGCAACCCACAGTGCTGTCAGAAGGCTGGGGCGATCGGGGGTGAGGAGTCTGCAACCCACAGTGCTGTCAGAAGGCTGGGGCGATCGGGGGTGAGGAGTCTGCAACCCACAGTGCTGTCAGAAGGCTGGGGCGATCGGGGGTGAGGAGTCTGCAACCCACAGTGCTGTCAGAAGGCTGGGGCGATCGGGGGTGAGGAGTCTGCAACCCACAGTGCTGTCAGAAGGCTGGGGCGATCGGGGGTGAGGAGTCTGCAACCCACAGTGCTGTCAGAAGGCTGGGGCGATCGGGGGTGAGGAGTCTGCAACCCACAGTGCTGTCAGAAGGCTGGGGCGATCGGGGGTGAGGAGTCTGCAACCCACAGTGCTGTCAGAAGGCTGGGGCGATCGGGGGTGAGGAGTCTGCAACCCACAGTGCTGTCAGAAGGCTGGGGCGATCGGGGGTGAGGAGTCTGCAACCCACAGTGCTGTCAGAAGGCTGGGGCGATCGGGGGTGAGGAGTCTGCAACCCACAGTGCTGTCAGAAGGCTGGGGCGATCGGGGGTGAGGAGTCTGCAACCCACAGTGCTGTCAGAAGGCTGGGGCGATCGGGGGTGAGGAGTCTGCAACCCACAGTGCTGTCAGAAGGCTGGGGCGATCGGGGGTGAGGAGTCTGCAACCCACAGTGCTGTCAGAAGGCTGGGGCGATCGGGGGTGAGGAGTCTGCAACCCACAGTGCTGTCAGAAGGCTGGGGCGATCGGGGGTGAGGAGTCTGCAACCCACAGTGCTGTCAGAAGGCTGGGGCGATCGGGGGTGAGGAGTCTGCAACCCACAGTGCTGTCAGAAGGCTGGGGCGATCGGGGGTGAGGAGTCTGCAACCCACAGTGCTGTCAGAAGGCTGGGGCGATCGGGGGTGAGGAGTCTGCAACCCACAGTGCTGTCAGAAGGCTGGGGCGATCGGGGGTGAGGAGTCTGCAACCCACAGTGCTGTCAGAAGGCTGGGGCGATCGGGGGTGAGGAGTCTGCAACCCACAGTGCTGTCAGAAGGCTGGGGCGATCGGGGGTGAGGAGTCTGCAACCCACAGTGCTGTCAGAAGGCTGGGGCGATCGGGGGTGAGGAGTCTGCAACCCACAGTGCTGTCAGAAGGCTGGGGCGATCGGGGGTGAGGAGTCTGCAACCCACAGTGCTGTCAGAAGGCTGGGGCGATCGGGGGTGAGGAGTCTGCAACCCACAGTGCTGTCAGAAAGCTGGGGCGATCGGGAGTGAGGAGTCTGGAACCCACAGTGCTGTCAAAAAGCTGGGAGAGACCACTTGACAAGGGACAAAGGGAAAGTGACCGAAGGGCATCTATGCCTTAGGGCTTTTAGATCAAATGACCCAGCTGCTCTCCACCCCCTCCCACTCACCACCCCCCAGGCAGACCCCTGCCTCCCGCTGCCATGGGCCACCCCTGAAGACCTGCTGGTCCATGTCCGGGCCTACGCTGGGGTTGTGGTTCTTTTCAGTCTCTGCCTTCTTGATACCCAACTCTGAAAAACAATGGCATTAAGTCGCGTTCGTTTGCATTACTCGTTGAAGACCACGTTTGCACACATGTTCACACGTATCTTGGGCATTGGTATTTCTTACTGGGTCAGCCCAGGCGTGCTGTGTGTCTTCAGCGTTCGCTTTCCTGAGGAAGTTCTTGAAGCTGTTTCCACACGGCCTTTCGTGGGTGGGGCCTGTTTTCTCCTTTCCTTTGTATCCACAGTTTGACGCAATCTTGCACACCAGGACTTTTGGTGCAAAATTTACACCTCTGTGCTGTCAAAGCCTCCACTTGGGGTGCCAAATCATAAAGCCTTCGCCCCTGCCGGGTTGTCTGCATTCCTGTTTTACTGAGTTCGTCTGGGGCTCCGAGCTTTTCCTGTAAGACTGCAGTGAATGTATTGCATGAGACACGGAGATCTGGCTTTGTGTTTCCTCCAGACGAGGAGCCAAGGGCCTTCGTAGCATTTGTGGGATCACCCATCTCTTGTTTGTGGGTTCGAAACACGACTTTTCTTAACTCGGGGGGGGGGGGGGAGAAAGTCCTGTGGATGCGTTGTTGGTGTCCAGGCCCCCATTCACTTCCTGTTCTCTGGTGGCTCCCCGCCGTTGTGACCGTCCTGGCCTTAGAACGTGTTTCAGTAAGCGGGAGAGCAAATGTTCCCGTTGCTCTCGCTCATAGATCCTGTTCACGACAGTATGTTTGTGATGGAAGGACAGTAAACAACCAAAATGGTTATCAGTAGTGACATTCAAGGCCAGTCCCATAGCCTAGGGGTTAAGGGAGCCAGACCCCACGTGGTCAACCCTGGTTCCAAACCCCTGCGGCTTGAAAAACACGGGTGCATGTGCATGTGGGCCCCAAACCCCAACAGGAGGGCAAAGTGGAGGAGAAGGGACCGCAGCATGATTGCACCTCCGGAGGGCGCTTTCTCCCTCTCTCTCTGTCTCTGTCTCTTTGGTGAGTACATATTCCCTCTGGCAAAAATAGTAAAATTTACAAGACTTAAGTACATTCTGAAGTAAATTCCTCTGTCAAAATTGAACAAAATAAACAGACCTGTATCAAAGAAATCCAAGATATTAATTCCAAAATGTCCAGCCACTGTGAGTAGGGGGGAAATGCAATAAAAGATCTGGCATGTAAAACGAAACCAAACCCTAAAGTCGCGCGTCTGTGCTAGGGAAGTGGCGGGGAAGGGCTCCTCCTGGAAACCCCAGTCTCATCTCACACGGATAATTCGGTTGAACAGAAGAGCTGAGCATGATGGAGGCATATTCCCGGCGGGCCCTGCTGAAGTGACGGGCCAAGATCAACTCCTCCTCTTCACAGGTCTCTGAGGCTGACACGGCCTTTGCCATACCCACTTTGTCAGAGAGGAAACTCAGGCACAGAGAGGTCACGCTACCTTCCCAGCCAGCCACCTGGTTAGAGGCAGAGCCAGAATTCAAACCCTGGTCCCAAGGCTCAGAGTCTGCCAGAGTCGAAACCAAATCTCTCACCCAAGATCCACACGTGGACGAGAGATGACCCAGTGTGGTTGGCAAAAGAGAAAAACCCACAGTGCAAATTGATTTGGTGGCAGAGGGAGGTCGAGACAGAGGAAACCATGAAAAATGTGTTCTTCGAGGGTGGGGGTTCTCACGCCTGAGAGACCTTTCGGGCACGGCCATGTCTCCCTCACCCTGACGAGGCAGTGCCATGCACACAGTAGGTGATTGTTGAGGAACGGTCACAGCTAGAGGCCTCCAGGAAGCTGCCCCTGGGATGGAGGTGGACACGCAAAGGACTTCCTGGGGGACTAAAATAGCGGGGGGGGGGGGGCTGGCTGTGCACCTCGGTGGTAACGTCCTGCTCAGAAGCAGCACATGGTAACGGAGGCTTAAATCCCTACGCTGACACGCTCCAGACGCTCGTGAGCGCCCAAGATCCAGGCTGGAGGAAGGGGACTGCAGGGTGGCCACACCCTGGAGAGGGCACCCCTCTCTCTCCCTCTCAGCTTGTGCACATGCACATGCACGGCCTGCATCGTAAATAAAGAAAAAAACACTTAAGTGGGGCAGGTAGCCAACTGGGCACGGGAAGCCATCGGGCCATCCAGACCTGACAAGACAACTGTCAGCTCATGGTGACTGAGGGGGCAAGAGCTGCCAGTGGAGGACAGCCCCACCTCAGCCAGACATGGCTGGGCCCTGGGTCCCTCCTGGTGTCAGCCCCCAGGCCCGGGACACCCTGAGAAGAACATTCTACAGGAGGAAGGCCCCAAAGCTAGAGGAGCTGGGGGTCTCCCAAGACTTGTCCTTGATTCAGTTACTCCAGAGAGTCACTGCTCCAAGCCTTCGCTGTGCTGTCAGAAGGGGCATTTCCTTTGCTTCAGAACACCCCCTCTCTTGCCCACCCCTGGCAGTGGGGAAAGCCCAAGGAGGGAGGTAAAAGGGGAGGGATACCTCCCAGCCATTGAGGCAGTGGGGCTGTGACTGTCCCTGCAGGACCCCTTGGCTGATCCTGGACCCCTCCATGAGGAACCCCCCGAGGATCACTTTAGGAGAACGATCTCCTACTTTATTTGAAATGTGGCCATTTAAAAATGCCCATGTTGAAAGACGGCTGACTAGAAGAACCTAGAGCGCCTCTCTTCCATTAAAAAAAGGGATAAAACAACAGTGAGATAAATGTACCTCAAGCGGATCTCTAAGGAGGAACACGGGAGTCCACCAAGGGCACATCTGAAGCCCTCTGAAACATGGAGAGCCGAAAGGATAGCATCGAGAGAAGAGAAACACCCAGCTGGAGCCAGGAGAGGCTGCGCAGTGAGGAAAAGGCAAGCGAGAGCTCCCCAGTGGTCCTCCCTATCACCAAAGACCATCCCACTCCCAGATGCCTGAGACTCTGGTTCTAGCCCCAGACCTAGTGTAGG